GTGAAAGCCTGCTCTTGTCCAAACCACTGGGACTCCTCCAGCTGTTTGTATGCTTGAAGACAACTCTCATGTTCCCTACCCATCTTATACTGCCCAGTTCCAGTGATCCAACTCTTTAAACAAACTTTAATGAGAGTTTCCTGAACCTTCATCATCCTGTCCATTTTGGTCTGTGTTTCCCAGTCAGTTTTCCATTTAAAATGTGCCTGTTAGGTATTTCAGAGCCCCCACAGAACAAGCCCCCTCCTCTCCTTTCCCTTTACCCCACTCCGGCCACAAGGAACAGGGAACTTCCACGTAACTAAGGCATGACCTCCCTTTGTTAGTGACTCTCTGCCTAGTTAAGGTCTTTCTGCCCCACCGGTTTCGTGGTCAGATGTTCCAGTAAGATAGGGGCTTCCTGAAAGCGGTGACTCCATCCCCCCAACCGAACCTGTTGCTACATACCCCAGCCCCAATCCCCCACCCCCACCAATGGCCTAGTGCTCTCCCACCCGCAAGACCCCTATATAAGCTTCCAGCTCAGCCCATACAGTTGCTGGTCTCCATTCTGTGAGTCAGCCTGGCAGGCTGCAGACTGCTGCCCCAATAAAGCTTGCTTGAATGTCCGTGTGTGCACCCCCTTCTTCGGCGACCCTTTCAGTGCCCTCTTCCTCCAGTTCAGACCTGAAGGTAGCACCCTCTAAATTGTCTTGAAGCAAAACTTTAAAAATAAGAAAAAACAAGTCTCCCCAACCTTAAGCAGTTTGCCCTCAGACTTCCCCTCTCCCTTGGCTGTTAATTTTGATCCTGTAAGATTTTATGATCCTTCACTTCTATAAAATCTTGTTTTTTCCACCAAACTATTCTAAGTTGCAAAACTGTCACTACTTGATTGACTGCCTTTGTTCTGCTTCTGGAAACCCTCTTGCCCACCTGCCAGTGTGCGCCAGTAGGAAGCCCTACCCCTTCAGCCATATTTATAAAACTAGAACCTCTTCTTTGTTCCAGCCTCAGTCTTCAGGTATGAATCCGGTGGGCTGGTGCACACCTAAATAAATTCTCCTGTTTCACCGGTTAGTCTCTCTGAGCTCTTGAATTCTGCAACAGTCTAACACACAGGATAAAATGGGATTGCAGTAGAAATACAAGAAAGAGTTGAAGAGAGGAAGGGGATGGGGAAAAAAAGAAGAATCAAGATACATTATTTACAGGTACAAATTCCCTATGATGTGACCTTTATGTATATCAAGTGTACCAATAACATTAATTTTAAAAATTAAATAAATAAAATGCACTTTTAAAGAGAAATACAATCATCACTAATAATCTGTTAATGTAATAAAGTAATAATAACACTTTTATTTTAATAACAACTGTGCTTTCTGTGCCAAAACTAGTCACTATACATGAATTGTCCCTGAAACCCCAAGACAGATTCTGTTATTACTCCTGTTTTACAGAGGAGAGGATGGAGGCTTAGCATCTTACTCAATGTTACAGCACTAGGACCTGGTCTCAGAGCTACTGATGCATGTATATCCTCCAACAGGATTTGACCCCTTTGAGGTTCTTGCTTGAAAGCACTACTGCTACTATTGCAGATAGGTAAGCTAATTAGATATCTAGTAGGCAGTTAGACAGGGCCTCACTTAAGGCACCAGCCCTCCAGGAGCTAACACAGCAAGGAGCCAACTTGGAGAACAATTGAGGCTCGTTCACTGAGGGTCAGCATTGTAAAAGGAGAGAAACTACCGCACCTATGTAGGATGAATAGCAGTGATTGATATTCTAAACAGTTATCAATCCCCTGGGCGGGGGGCCAAGGTCTTAACCCAGCCTTTCAGGGAAATATCCCTGACCCACTCTTACTGAAAATCCTTGTACATTTGCTATGTGACTTGCTCCCCCATTTGATCCTTGTTTAATCAATATTACCTGGGTGGCTGTACTTGTATTCTCATTGGTTGGTCATGGTCTTGTCCCACCTCATGCCCACCTTGTAAATTTCCATTGGGTCTTATAGTTTTGCCCCACTTTGTACCCGCCTTACCACATGGCTTTGAAACATCCTTGAAAAGTAGGGTGGGCGGGCAACCCACTTTCTGGTCCCCCTTCTGTCTGTATTAGACAGAAGCTTTCTTTCTCGCAATAAATTTTTCCTACTCTTAACCTCCGTTGTTCCTAGAATTCATTCTTCGATTTTAGAGAATATGAATTCGTGTTTCGGATATCTAAAAGGTTTGGGAGTTACACCTCTTCCCCCTATATCACTACTACACCTCTTCTAATACTAATGTAGGTAGTGCACCTGAAAATCCAAGTTGTTTTTAGTTATGGTCACACTCTTAATTATGTATGGAGTGAACTAGAATCCTAAGGTGTAGGGAACAGGGGAAGGGGACCTTACTAGAACCTCTGCATCAGGTCCTAGTCTCCTGAGAGCTCTGACAGCACAAGGAAAATTAATTAATATATAGACAGAAATGAGACTTTGAGAAGAAGCTGAGCTTTGGCCTGATCCATGGTGCTCTGGGCAGCAAAGACCCCAGACCCACACTTGCCACACCTTTATTCAGAACATCAGCAGAAACAAAAGTAGCAAAAGACTCAGAGGGCGGTGACAATAATAGTAGAACAAAGGGGAACTATGCAGATGAAGGTTTGGTTCCTCCCAGGATGTCTCCAGCTGGTGTAATCCTGCTCTGGAGCATCACAGCATCACTCGACCATTGAGGTCTAGCTGTGACTGGAGCCAAAAATGGAGTTGCAGCTTGATATGCTGTAGCTAGCCTGTAGGCAAGGAAAACTAGGCCCTAATTATGATTTAATTATGAAATGATTTTTTCCCAAATTCATGTAGAATTGCTCCTGACACTAAGGAACTTCTATTTTTATTTTCTAAATTGCAGTTATTCTTCCTGAAGATGGGTTACCATAGGAGAAGGGAACGAAGGGGAAATAGGAAGACACAGGGAGAAAGGGGACAAGGGCCTGGAAGCAAAGGCAGGGAAAAGTATGGCTACATACTCTGGGCATTTCCTTTGCGTGTTTCACAAGTATGAGGCAGACCAGGTCTAGCAGATGACAAAGAGCCATTGTGGTCAAACAGGAATATTTTTACACCTCAGAAACATTTTGTTGCTTTTTATTTCTTAGGTTTCTTAATGGTTGCACTGGATTTGGGAAAGTCAGCAGATTCTACACCCCAGAGAGCACTCCCTGGCTTCACTTGCTTCTCCATAGAGCAGAGCATTTACGTTTGGGAAGCCTGCCCCCTGTTGGAGTAATGGAATATGACATGCTCTGTGGCCATGCTAACTAGCTAACTATAGCTAAAATTAGGTCTGTGGCTAACTGGACAACCAACCAGGAGGAATGTGTGTGTCAAAGTTCATAAAAATCCATTGCTAACAGGTTGAGCGAGATGTTTCCTAAAAACAGAAGCCAGGCAGAACCCTGAACCCAGAATGACTCCGGGCTTAGAGCACTGTACATCAGTAAAGTGCCATCAATAGATGCATTCTCAATCTGTCATCTCAATCCAGAGCTGCTCACAGGACCAATCAGAAAATGCTGTTCCCAGTCCCTCTAGCACTGAGTTATGTCTTCAGCTCCTATTATATTGTCACCCCATTTACAACCTAGATATTCTACTAACCCCTGGGAAATATATCCAGAATTCATATTCCCAAGCCAGGGGTGGGGGTGCACTTCTGTATTCCCAGGTACTAGGGAGGTTGAGGCAGGAGGATCTGATGTTTGAGGCCAGCCTGGGCAACTTAAAGAGTTCTTGTCTCAAAAAACACTGGAAAGAGGTGATGTTGGGGATGAAGCCCAGAGGTACAGTGCTTGCCTTGCATGTGTATGGCCTGGGTTTAAACCCTAGGACCAGAAAAAAAAAACAAACCTCCAGGACCTCCATGTTTCCAGAGACTCGGATTTGATGAGAATGCAATAGAATCTGGAGGTCTGCATTGTAACCAACACTGTTTTAGGAACCTCATCCTTCTTGTTAGTTCCTCCCATTTCCTAAATCCCAGAAGCTCCTAGAGAATGGAGGTCAAATTCTGGTAAACCTAACAGGTCCAAGTCAGAAGCCACCCATATCCTTCTCTAGATGACATTCTCTAGATGCAGCCCCAGGAACCACTGGATTCTCCTCCAGGCTGGGTGCGCACCACTGTTCCAATGCTCTGAGCTCGGTCTTCAGTCCACATCACCACTGTCAACAGAATGCTCAGGTGCTCATTTGGCATTCGGTTCACAAGCATCCTGAGCATCGCCTCAGACATTCTGCCTTCTGACCAGGGAACAGCTTGTCTCACTGACTTCCTGCCTACAATGATGACCTGGGTTTCAGATCTGCTGGGCAGAAAGCTGCTGACTCCAAGAAAGTGTTTTAAGTCCTCAGCCTCAAAAGATCATGGAAAGAATAACCTCCTAGCATTTATATATCGGTATCACAATGGCCAACAACACTCAGAGCCTTCTAAGAAACCACTCTTTTTACCACCATGTCCAGGCCCTCTGCAGGGGGCATCTTGCATAGCATTCAGTGGCCCATAAGGGGATAATTGTCTCTTTGTCTTGGCTTCTCTCCACTCTGGTGCTTGTACATGGGGACAGACTGGCCCATGGGCAATGAAGGACCCTGCCCTGGCCACTTCCCCTCCATATCCATCCTAGCAGGGCAGGGAGCATTCTGCTTGGGAAGCCATCTCACTCAGCGGTGGGTTTGGAGGTTTACAAAGAAGTGTTCACGGGTTTTCACTGTACGTGATGACAGAGGAGTGTTAGCAGTGTCAAATAAAAATCACAGGAGGCCCTCATTTGTCAGACTAAGTCCCTTAACAGAACAGGCTAAAAATGAAAATAGAGTGACACATGCTACAGTTCCATATCACCAAGCTGAACCTGAGTTGTTTCTGGCTTTCCAAAGCACGAGGAGCAATGAGAGGTCACAACCAAATTTCCCAAACAAGCCAGTTTTAATTGGCATGATAATTAAATTTCCTCTGCGTTTTTTTTTATATACTCTAATGTTTATAAAATTTTTCCACATTACTCATAGACATAAGCTTCACAATGTTTACATATTAAATACAATAAATATCATTTCTAATGAAGATTTGGCTGTTTTGAGGTATCTCTGTAAGATATGCCAATATGGCACATTTGTAAAACCCAGGAGTCTACCCTAAACACTCTGACCAACATAGCATCATCTCTGCCAGACTTTCTCACAGGTTGAACTAGTTTCTAACCAAGGAATAAATGTTTTAATTATTACTAAACAAAAGGGAGGCAGGTACTAGAAACTCTTCATTTTATAAAGCAATGAAATTTTGTGATAAATATTCTCGTTATCATCTTCCTGCACACACCATTCATTTAAAAAGAACTACTCAAGATCAGTAAAGCAGTTTCATCTCCTATGCTATTTTAAAAAGCCTAGAGATTTAAAAACCAGAGTAATGAATTTCACTATCTTTACATATTATGTCATAATATATAAAGCTATTCTATTTTTTAGCATTAACAACAAATCATTACTCTTTACCTAGCTTCTTTGCTGAAAGGTGGACACTTGATTCAGGAATATTCATTAACTGTTAGGTAGATTGCTCATGTTGACTGTAAAAAAGTCATTTACAATCAACTTATGAAGTAATAACACTAGCCAAACAGAGATACAAATACCAAAAATCATGTGCTCTGTATGCCCAAATATCTATACCTGGGGCATGGCTATCAGGTAATAAGACTTATCTGAATACATAAGGCCAGAGGGATAATGGTCCCACTGATGAAAAATGTCTATATGGAAAAGAATGGGGTTTATCACAAAGCATAATTATATAGCAAAATCCAAGAAAGGGCCATTTTTAAAGATGGTATTTTAAATTTAATGACTTAGGCCAAGGTCTCAGTTACTTTTTTGTGAACTCAGAACGATTAGGAATAGAAAAATGCTTTTCCTTTTTTCTCTTCTTTTTTTTTTTTTGTGATGTTTTCCTTTTTTTGATTTGTTCTTTTTTTCTTTTTTCTTTTCTTTCTTCTGAAATTTTTGTTTCTTTTGTTTAGAAGAGTCTTCTTCAGTGGAACTGGAATAAGACCCTTTCCTTTTCTTTTTCAACTTGATTTTCCCTTTACTTTTTTCTTTTTTCTTCTCCTCTTCTTCATTTATTCTTTTCTCCTGTAATGCCTGCAATATATATAGTTCCTCATTCTCTGCATCACTGTCTTCACTGCTTGTACTGCTGACATCCAAAACTATGTCCCTTTTGGGGTCTACTCGGAGAAAATTGCAGCATTCAAAAGTCAGATGACCAGGATAGCCACGTTTTTTACAGCCTGCTCTGACATTGTCCTTGTTGCAACCTGGGACTGCCATTATGCTGGTAAAAGGGATCGTTGGAGCCTGTAGCTTTCGATACGTTTGCTTCCCGCCGACTTTGAACACAATGCTCAGAGAAGCCTCTGCCACCCGCCTCAGGAGCTTTCGCTCTTTCCTCTGTGTTTAATCCTGCCATAATTTAATATTTAAAAAGAATTCAGATCAAAGTGCAGGGGTGTGTGCTTGTATTCCCACCTACTTGGAAAGCTGAGGTAGAAGAAAATGCAGAGGGCACATGGGGGCCTTTGGTGTCTAGCTCTGAACACTGAGGAGGGCCCTGGTCCAGGTCCATCATGCAGGATCAGCAATGGCACAGGGGCACAGGGCCTTGACTCCCCAGGAGCCTGCAATGCAACTTCAAGGACAGCTAGAGAACTAGAGTAAGGGGTGACTCTGGAGGGGCCCTTAGTGCCACTGTATCTGCTATGGTACTATGCAGAAAAAGTAGGTGAAAGTGTGCTTTGGTACAAAGAAAACTGTAGTGGGGACCTATGTGCCTAGATACCAACACCAGAGGTTGGAAAGACCAAGATCCAGACTCTGTCCTGGACCTGTCATTGTGGTCAAACAGGGGACCATGCAGGATCCAAGCCAAGCTCTTTGTCCAGGGCATTGAGACCAGCTGAATGAAGCTAGCTGATGAATACCAATAGGTGAGGCCACATGCTTGTCACTAGGAGGCAAAAGCCAATTCTTTAAGGCCAGGCAGGGAGGCTCAAGAAGGGAGGCCCAGTGGCAGAACTGATGGGCAGTGTGCCAGTGCTTACCACTAGGTGTATAAGTAAAACAGGTTTAGGCCAAGAGGGGAGGACCAGCCAAATAAAATGGGTGGTAAACAAGAAAGAAACAATGCAAAAATGTTCAGGCAGCCTGCCTCACGAGCAAGGACGTGTGCACAAGGCCAGCGGTTGGGGCCAGGAGCTTAATGAATCTGTGCTGGTAAAGCAAAACAGGTAAGCAATGTGGGTAAGCCCAAAAGGGTGCAGGAGGGGGTGCTGACAGAGAGACAGGGTAGTCATGGAGGTCTGGCTAGGGCTAGTATGTCCAGGCAGGTCAGCCAGGTACATAAGAATGAGAGGGTAGGGCCAAGAGGTGAAGCCCAATGGAATTCATCTCTGTGGGTAACACGAGGTGGGTCAGGGCAAGTAGAGAAGGCCAGGAGATTAAGGCCAGGAGTTTAATGACAAGTGGGGTGTGGTCAAGAGGTTAAGATCAGCAGGCTAAGTCTGTGGATGTCCAAAGTAGTGCCAGAGGGCTAGAGGCAGAGTCTGTGGACAAAGGGCTATGGGCAGAGAGAGCAGGTCCAGCAGGATAAAGTCAGGGAAGGTGGGAGGTTAATAAGATCTGGTGCTTAAGGCCAGATGAACAAGGCCTAATGGGCAATGCTGTTGGATAAGTCCAGTAGATTAAGGGCCAGCTGTATAAAGCTAAGTGGCTACTTCAAGTCGGTAGGTAGGGCAGGGAGGTCTGAACTATGTGGGTGAAGGCAAGTGGGTAATGCCACAATGTTACTTGTGCAAGTATGGCCAGGAGATGAACAAAGCCCGGGGATAAAGGAAAATGGGCAAGGCCGGGGGACAAGGCCAGAAGGGCAAGGACAGGGACATTCCGGACTGGTGGGCAAAGACAGTGCCCAAGGGCAAGTTGTTCAGGCCAGATTAAGGCTAGGGATTAGAGATGGGGCAAGGGGCTGGAGCACAGGGCCAGGGCAGGGGGCTGGGAGAGGGGAGCAGAAGGGCAAATACAGGAAGGATGGACATGGAGTGCAAGACAGGAGGGCAAATAGAGCCAGGTGGCTGTATAGAGCCAGGAAGTTAAGGCCAGGGCCCAGGACAAGCACAGGGAACTGGGCTGAGGGAAGAAACAAAGGACCTGGACAAAGGGTCAAGGCACAGGATGGAAGCCCAGGCAAGGAGCCTGCAGAGCTAGGGAAGAAGGGTGAGGACAGACAATGGCCTCATGGGCAAGGCCATTGTGAAAGGACCCATTGTTAAAGACCCAGACGACATGCTGGCTAGGAGCCAGGGCAACGGTGGGAGCATCACCATGGAGTTCTAGAACAGTGGGCAAGACTGTGTGTGAGGCCATCGGGTGAAGGCCAGGGTCCAGGATGGGAGTCTGTGCTGGGGAATAAGCCTGGACAAGGTGCTCAGGTAGGGGGTGAGCGCAGAAGAGCAAGACCAGGGAGGACGGCCATGATTCTGGATAAGTAAGCAGGGCCACTGTGTAAGGCCAAGTTGTTATGGACAGGTGGCTTAGCCAAGAGAACAGGGTACAGAGTCAGGCCTGGGGCCCTGGGGAGGTGCTGGGCCAGGGGCAAAGGAAAGGATGGGTAGAACAGCAAGAGCAAGGCAAAGTGGTCCCTTGCATGGAATTACGGCTAAGCAGGCAAGGCCACTATTATGGCAGTGTCTTGGATAAGACCGAGACACAGGCTGGTGGCAGGCAAGAGACCCTAGCGGGGCCCATGTGAGAAGCTGGGACAGGAGGCCTGGGAAGCTTGGCCAGAAGGGCAGTGACAGGCCAGAATGTTAGGAACTGAGGAGGGTACCAGGGCATGAAGCCGAAAACCAGGAGAGAGGGAAAAAGAATGGAGCAAGGGTCCAGGTTAAGGGACCACTGGGGGATAGGGCAGGAAGGACAGGCATGGAGTTCTGGGAAAGATCAACACATAGGCCTTGCAGTTAAGGACAGGATGGTAAGGCCAAGTGCCAGGGAGTAAGACGAGAGTAAGGGGCTAAGGGAAGAGGATGAGATGAGGGTCTAGGGCAAGGGGCATGCAAAGGGCCATGGCAAGGGGCCATGCACTGGAAAGGGCAAGGATAAGGTCAAGGAATCAGGACAAGTGATGGACAAGGCTTCTAGGCAAGGGACCCAAGCAATGGGCAGGGGATGGAACAGGGGAATGTAAACAGCTAGTTAAGGGGCCAGGCAGAGGCCTAGGGAAAGAGCTCTGCAAGGGCCCTCACGACAAGCAGGAGAAGGGGTCAGGATAAGGGTGAAGGCAAGGAGTCATGTCAGGTGTCCCATGCAAGGGCCCAGCTTATAGAGATAAGCAAGGGGTGGAATCAAGGGGTTTGTGCAAGGGATCATGTTAAGGATCCCCACAAGGGGTCATTAAAGGCTTTGAGCAAATGGACCAGGCAAGGGGTTTTCTTAAGGGAGCATGTGAGGAGCTAGAAAAAGGGAATCCTCTAAGTCCTCAAGGTGATGGTCTTACAAGGGACCAAGAGAGGGGTCAGAAAAAGGGGGCCATGCGTGACCAGATTCATGTGACTGACTGGGGCAATAACCAAGACAAGGACCAGGTCAGGGGAAAGGTCCAAGAAAGGAGCCAGGGCAGGGGACCAGGTGAGTAGCCAGAACAAAGGCCAAGACATGTGGCCAACACAGGGGTCAGAGGTAGGGGTGCCAGCTGGTGGTCTACAGGAGGGGCTGGCTTAAGGGACATCACAGGAGATGGTGCAAGGGGCCATACAAGGGCCAGAGCAAGGAGCTCAAGGTTAGGGGCTGAAGCACAAGGCTAAGCAAAGGGAGAGCACAGTGGAGCATGTGGTTGGAACAGGGGACTGGAGAAGGGCCAAGCCACAGCAGATTGTGGAACCAGAACAAAGGTCAGGGAAGGGGTCCAAGTCAGCACAGGAGATTAGGTCATATTGCCCCAGAGAGAGCCCAAGCCAGGGGCTGGAGCTAGGGGCTCAGGGAGGTAGGTGTTCAGGGCCGGGTCGAGGGTAGTTCCTGCCACTTTCTGAAGGAGTTCTGGAAGTCTTCTTTCACATCTTTAGTTGTGCTGTTCTGGCTGCCTCGGCATCCTGAATTCATTCAAAACATTTACCTTTCATAGTCATTTTGGCTTTGAAGATGAGCCAGAGTCACATGGTGATTAGGTGGATGAGGACACAATAGAGCTACATGAGGGCTAAAGAAAAAAGACAATAGAGACTTGCGTAATTTCAAAGTATGGGGTGGGGGAGGTCAGTGCCTCAGAGTGGGCAAAGACAAAGACTCTCCAAGTTAGTCATTATTTATTGGGTACACACAATTCTTGGAGGGAGTACCCAGTGACTTGGAAGGTGGAGGTGATCTTATGTTTGATCTGGTGCCGATGCAAATCTCATGCTGGTGAGAGGAGTAAGGAGTCTTCCCAGTTCAGTAGGTGGGATGAGCTGAGATGATAAGGCACTCCTCCCTCCCCAGGTGAAATCCTTCTCTTGAATATTACTTGGTTCTCAAGGAACCAAGATGTCTCCAGCTAGTGTCTTCTTGCCATTGAGAGCCACAGCTTCACAGACCATTGAGGCCACAGCTGTGACCAGAGGCAAAACAGAGTTATGTTTCCACATGCCATATCTGGCTCTCGGGCAAGGCAACATTGGGCCTTAGACAGTTATAGTTGTACTTTAATCATGAAATGATTTTTTCCCCTAAATGTCTGTAGAAATACTCCCAACAACACACTGTAATGTTTTACGAGTCTGCCTTTCTGTTGGATGGCACTGGGAAGGAGCATTCAATGTTGTTTTTTTTTAATCACACCATGTAAGACACTTAAGAAAGAGGACTTCTAGAACTGCTTCAGAAAATGGCAAAAATAACGGATAGATACAAAGCAAGGGGAGTACTTTGAGAGGGACTAATGACAATGTGTCTTACTGTAATAAATTTTTTAAATTTAAACATGCACTATAGTTTTTGATCAGCCTGGTACATCTCAACTCCATAACCAGTACCATGATCACTCTCTAAAGGTCAGAAATATTCAAGGATCAAGCCAGCATGCTGAAGGATATTACTGCTACAATCCCAGCACCCAGTAGACAAGATAGTAAAAAGAAAGATAAAAATTAATCATTATTTGTCTTCATGTCACTAAAAATACTATTATATCAATAGATTCTCTATCACCAATAACCTGATTAAAACAAAGATTAAGTCTATTTCAGAGTAGATATAAAAATGCGAACATCCCAGGTACAATCTTTTTTTTTCAATATTTTTTTGTTAGTACATGTTTGTAGTACATAATGATCACATTCTTTATGGGAAGTTGGTACATGTACATAACACACCTTAATTCTTTTTATTTCCCCTTGCCCTTCCCTCCATTATATCTAGCTCCATGTATTGATCACTTTCCCATTTGCAAAAGATCTATTTTCCTATTTCCTATAACCTATCTTTTATTTTGCTCTTTACTTATACTTTAGGTTTCTGATATAAGAGAAACTACGCAATATTTAAGCTTGTATATCTGATTTATTTCACCTAATATTATGGTCTCTAGGTACATTCATTTTCCTACAAATGATTCATGCTTCTTTATGGCAGAGTAGTACTTCATTGTGTAAAAATACCACATTTTCTTCATTCATTTGTTGATGGACATTGTCTTAGTTACTTTCTCATTGCTAGGACAAAGTACTCAGCACCCAAAGTTAAAGGAGAAAAGGCTTATGGCTCACAACTTGTGGAAGTTTCTGTCCATAGTCAGCTGGTTCCAAGGCAGGGCAGCATGGGAGAGGTGCGTGGCAGAGGAGAAATAGTTCAGTGTGGTAGGCAGGAGGCAGCAGGCAGCAGTAGCTAGCCTCTTTTCCCCTTTATTCTATTCAGGTTATAAGCCTATTGGTTGTTGTCATCCATACCCACAGT